AAAAAAGAAATAAAAGAGAAAGGAACTAAGAGAAAATACTTTAAGAAATAGAAATTGAGAGGTTGGGTTTGAAGTCAGCTTCCCCTGCCCTGCACCACCTCTAAAGGAGTCATCATCATGTGCTACAGACCTCTGAGACTGTGAATGGAGCAGCAGCCATCTGCCAAGACCTCTCCCTTAAAGGAGTTAAGCACACAAGATGGTTGGATTGTTTCCTAAAGCCCAGACCTGTCTCATTTCTAATGAGACACCCTGAATAAAATTAGTAGATTTCTTGCTCTTAACTGACTGCAGTGATGACAGCTCCCAGCTACAGTAGATGTTGTGCTCCAGTTCACAACTTCTCAGCACTGAAAATTTTTGAAGGAAATGGGAAATGGCAGCACAGGGAGAGGTCACCATTACATGAGAAGCATGGAATGTGAAAATGTTAATACACTAATGGCTGTCACATGACTTGACAAAAAATATTTTATTAAGAAAAAGGAATTGAAGCAATTCTTAGATGCTCTTGCCCCCATACAGGGAGACATTGGAGTATGCATATTTTAAAAAAAGTTCCTATGCTGTGGAAACACTACTGGATAGCACACGCAACCCAAACGCTTCAGAAGAGCCATAAGCCTGCCATTTGTTTTATTTGTGCCTGTGTTCATTATGTTGAATATTTAGGAAAGAGTCCTTAAATACTCTCTCAGCTAGATACATGATTTTTCAAAGCACACAGAGCAAAGGCAGCCACCACGAGGATCTGGTTTTACATTCTGACTGCCTAGGCACAGACCAATGATCTGTCGTGGTAATTGTATCACTAACTTTGTTACCTTAAAGCAGCTGCTATCCTTACTGTAATCCTATTAAACATCTACATTATAATCATCCAGCAATAATTTAAGGGAGAAGGCCTGAGTGAAACTGTCCAGAGCAAAAACCAATTTCAAAACTATATATAGATGACAAACAGCCCAATAGAAGCAACAGAGAACAAACAAACTGCCTGGGAGGGAGCAGCCCAGAGGCTGGGCCAGCTCAATGATTTACACTGAACTGAACAGGTGGAACCTGGGCTGAAACTCAGAGCTTGAAATCTCACCCTTGGACTGGGGGCTGTCAGAAGGAGGAAGGCATGCTGCATCATCTCATGTAACCATACAAATGGCACAAAAGGAGGTCTCTGAAGACACGAAGCACTACAGAGATGTCATGCTGCAGGCTAATACGTAAATCATAAGGAAGAAAGTGGAAAGCCCCCATGGCTTTGGAACCACACAGCTTGGGCATAGACATCATACACAGCAAAGCACAGTGCTTGGAGTCTGGAAAGCACCTAGAAAACATGCCAGAGCCAGATACAGGTTCCTGAGTAGGTCTCCTAAGACCCAGTCACTGAAGTCCCTAATCACATAAGCAGTTCTCAATGACTTCAGTGAAGTTAACTAAATGATTTTTTTTTATAGAGATACAGATATTAAATAAGCTGCAAGAAGTGAATGAGTAGTCAATGAGTATGAATATACAAGTAAAGTCTAAATAATGAATTTATAATAAAAAAAAATTCAGACAGCAGCTGGCCAAGGTGCATCACGCAGGCACTGTCCACTGCCCCACACCAAGGAAGCACTGCTCCAGCAGCCCTGTGAAAGCAGTGGGGCAAGGCAGGACTCACTCAGCACAGACTGTCATTTGGGAAAAGAAACTGTACTGCAGAGTTGGGTGGGAGGGAGAGGGGAGCAGAGCAAGCAGCTGCTGAAACTGCTCTGCACCCACGGTCACTGCTAAGGTTGGGCAGCTTCCTATAGGCTTCCCCCGCAGGCTGCTACTCCCATCTCTCCTTCCTCTGCTCTCATCCTATTTAGCCAATCTTTCCCATGCAGCCTCCCACAGAGGAGATGCATCTGTGGGCCACTGAGCTGCTTGCTTGCTTTGCCTGTCCTCACGTTGCCAATGGTGAGCACCCACAGATGGGGTGACTCAGGCATTGTCCCCTTACAGTCAGGGCTGTTGTGACATTCCTGCTGCAAACACAACATCTATCTCATTCTGCTCCTGGCATGACTGCTATGAAGAAATTTGTTTTCTCCATGCAGAACAGGAGCAGCAGGCTTGAGGCCGAATGCACTATTCAGAAACATGGCAGCTTCATTGCCCACACAAAGTAGTAATGCTGCCTGGAGACAACTGTGCTCCCAGGTAAGCCTTTGCTGCAACATCAGAGCATGCTCTTCAAGCCTTGGAAAAGAGGAGAAAGCTTCACCTTACTGCACCAAAAAGAACCACATGGGTGAAAGTGGCTAGCAGGTAGGCAGCTTTGTTAACTGCAACTGTTACTGTGCAATAAACACTGCACAGCAGTGCTGCAATAGGAAAGCAGGCCCAATGCTTCTCTAATTTGATAAGAGGTTTCTTTAGTGATTCACCAAAAATAATTACCCCAAATATAAATATGGCCAAAATTAGCACTACTAGCTAATTTTGGAGAGGGCAGGAACTACAGCAAACATACTGACTTAAGGAAATCGAAGTCTCTGTGTGGCCAGACTCACATACACAAAACTCTGCAGAGTTGTCTACATTGTATTCCAGGTGATTTTATCAAAACTCTGCAATAATCGTTGCTGAAAATAACTTTTCAGTGCAGTGCATGACACAAGTCCATGATGATGAGAGGGAAAATCTGTTCAGATCTGGCATTTGTAGTGACAATGACGTTCTTCAAACATTATTTCCTCAGCCCACAGGTGTTTTTCCATTTTGTTTGACAACAAGACAGAAAGCAAAGCCAGGGAATTTTTTCTGTACATCCACTGACAGCTGCTGCAGCCAGCCAGCCAGCTCTCTGCTGTACACAAAGCAGCTCCAACCATTCCCCACAGTGAGCTCAGCACCAAGGTTATAATTTGTAAATAATAGAATCTATTTCCAACACCACAGAACATATCTGCAGCTCTCTTCAGTGATATGCATAGAAAAGATTATTTCATGAAGTTTTCAAAAATTGTAAGCATCTGAAGAAGAAAGATTATTTCGGAGAGACTGCTGGACAGTACCAGGTGTGCTTTCAAGAATCGCTTTGCCCTCTGTACCCTGTAGGCTTAGCTTTGTAGGAAGGAATGATTTTGCATCTGAAACTTTTCATAGTCTAAAAAAGCAGTTATTTTTTTCTGTGAAAAGAGAGTGCAGTCACTTCTACCTTACTGAAACATCCATCCAGTTGCTAAGGGGCTCTACTGGCAGAGGAGTACCAGGCTCCTAGTAGATTACCCAGATTTTTGAGAGATGTTCCAAGCCTAAATTGTCTGGATATCTCACTTGGTTCCTCAGCAGAAATGGAGAATGTTGCTTCTTTTCCTCCCGAGTCAGATGTTTATCTGAAAAGCATCTCACGAGGAAGAAAAACAATGACCTTCAGAGTGCTTAGATTCACTTCAGAATTCATTTTGTAACAATGATATCTCCTAGAGGCCTTCAGAGAAAGATTCAGGAGTAACCATCACACAATAATAGTTACTGAACATCTCCAGTGCAAAATAACCTCCTAACTCTGCCCTAATCTGAGTGCACAAACCAAAGCTTTTTCATCATTTCAAAAGATGAAAATTGGGAGGGAAAAGTTCACTTCTGTTTAATAAAAAAAAAACCTAAAATTCAAGTGACAAGAGGCCATCATCAAATGGGAATTTGTGAAAACGTATGCTTTATCAACAAATCCTTTCAAAGTCAGATAAATTATGAATAATATGGATTGCATATACTGTCCACAAAATGACCAAATGGAATTTTTTTTTTTTAAAGACACAATAGCAAGTGGCCTTTACTATAATACTAGGATCATTGATGTAATCACTATCCTGAAAGTCCAAGTTTCATTTGAAAAAGGAAAAACATAAATTATTCTCTATAAACTACATGAGAGATTTTTCGCAATGTTAAAGAGCAAATGCATCTCGTGTAAGCTGGGATCCAAGACTTGCAGATTTCCCTGGCTATTTTGCTAACTAGTGTTGTGATCTTAGGCACATGCATTTACATACCATAGTTCCTTATCTGCTACAAGAAAACAGTATTACTCAGAGTTTCAGACAGTGCTGTTATATACAAATCCCAACGATTCTTCATTCATTCAGAACGGACCTGGATGTTTACTTAAAGGAAGCACTGCACAAATATGATCCAGATAATTTCAAAATGATTCAGAAAGTGTACTACACATTTCAGAACTGCTAAGTGCTCTAAAATGTCAGTAAAACATTTAAGATGATTTTAAACAGTACATACACAGCACAACTGAGCACAGTCTCTAGAGATCTGGACCACATTTAAAAGTAACTCAAAGGCAGGTGCTGCTGTAAAGATGAAGAAACAAACCCAAAATCTCACACAAGCAAAAATCTCATGTTAACAACATTGCCTAAAAACCTCCTGCTAAGCCAAGTCTCCCTGGATCTCCAGGCACCAGAAAGTATTCTCGTCCAGATCCACTTTTTAAAACCATAAATGTACTTGTACAGTAATGTACAGCCAATGTAAATTAGTCTGAAACTAGTATAAAACTTTCAAACACACATTATAATTTACAGTGATACAAACAATTGCTTGAGGAGTTTATAACAACAGATTATGTTAGCAGTGAACAGAGGAGAATTTCTATTGCAAGTTCTTAATAACAGGTTTCATGCTCAGGTGTTAATTTTCTTTTATCCATCATATCAACAGCATCAGGAAACAGTTTAGGTGACCATAACTTTTGCTCAAGCAATAGACTGCTTCTGTTCACCACCACACTTAAACATCCTTTGCTTCCAAACTGCCACAACCACTTTTTTCCTATTAATTTCCATGGAAGCTGAAACTTGCCATTATACTAAAGGATGTGGAGTTTTATTAACAAAAATAATAATAAATCAGTTTTTCTCCCCTTATAATCCAAACACTCATTCAGTATACCTACTACAAGCTTATAAGGTATAATTTTGTAATCTGTATTTAAGCATAGTACTTACGGTTGGCATAATTTTACCAGGTCCTGATCAGTGGTGTTTGGAGGCAGTGCTCTGATGTAAAGGTTTGTTTTACTTAATTGATCCCATCCTGAGTTGCTGCTGCTACTACTGTTGTTATTACTGCTGGTGGTGCTGGGACTAGGAGGAGCCATTGGGTGGGCTGGTACAATGGACTGCTGCAAAGGAAAAAGGGCGTTAGAGTGAACTGCAGAGAGCAATCTCAGCATGCACATTATCTCAGTCTACAGCAGCCTGGTTGCCATTCAGAGCACTGCGCTACAGCTGCAGTAGTCACTCCTGGATTCTAAACCCACTTTCCACTGGGTTTGGGACAGGATCTGTGGGCACACCTGACATACCCAGCTCTCAGCTGAAGCACGCTCAGTGCACGACGGATTTAAGTTATATATAAACTCTGCTGAATGCTGCTCATAGGATTTTATCTTTGTTGTGGCATCTGATGTGAAAAACAAAAAGAGGCTGTTCTAACAGGTACATACTACGTTTATTTTCTTCAGACTGTTCCACATCGTAAAGGGTTATTGTGGTAGATGTGAAGATTATGGTATTTCCTTCATCTATTCAGAAATATAAAAACAGTAAGAAGCCTCTTACGTTCCTCTGCTGCCTTTTAGTACTTCACGTGACACAATCTTATTTATTTTTAAGATAGAGAGAGAGCACAGACAGCTTAAGGTATAGACTTCAGTTGCGCGCCTCTGTGGAATTACTGCTGTTGATCTCAGTATTTGTGAGTTATTTCAATAATCTCAAGAAGAAGACCATATAATTCCAAACAATCAAAGTTTGAGAAGGAGATAAGCACATAAACACTTCACATAGTTCTCAGAATATCTAATGTAGTTGTTCTTAAAATCAGATCCCAGCAGAACTAGAAAATGCCCACATGGAAATCTGCAGTAGAGCAGTCTTCATCCTTTTCTTAAGCAACAGTATGGAGGTCACAGTACAAAAAGTACTAAAACCGGGTATACGGGGTTGTAAGAGAGAAATAGTGGAACATGACAGCTCAGGCTCCAGTTAAGTCCATACACAAGATCCTCACTGACAAAAAGGTCCTCTGCATGCAGCCCCCTTCCTGCAAAAGTCTGATCCTCCACAGCGCAGAAATCTCAGAGCAAAGAACATCCTTACAAGCTGCAGAGGTAATGCAGAAAAAAGAAAAGAAGAAAAAAGAATAATACAAATTGAAACACTGATGTGCAAGTAGACTCCTTTGCTCTTGCTCCTGTGCCACCCTCCTCTGTGGAGTCACACAAGCACTTGTGTGGCCATACCCTGAACTGAAGAATTAACACCCTGCTTTGGTTGACCACAGCAGGTAGGCGCAGCTTAGGCTGCCCCAGCCAGGGAGCCATGTGTGCACACAGGAGGGGCTACAGCTCGCCTTGGTTCCAAAGGGCTCAGGGAACTACAGCCTCAGCCAGGAAAGTGAAACCATTTGGGAGATAACCTTGGGAAATCAGAATGAAATTGGGAGTGGAAGCAAAGCAGAGAAGCCTTTGATCAGATACTTCAGGTTGATTACATGTTTCTTATTCATGTTTCCCTGGGAAGGTTTTGAAATCTTCTAATTCAGTGCAATGCAAAGCTTATTATGCAGCAATAATAGCCTGGAACAGCAAACTGCAACACACACTCAATGCAAAATCAACCATCAACATTGATATGGAGAAATGATTTTGTTGCCTAATGGAAGTGAGCTAAAAATGAAAGAAAAAAATGAAGAAAAAGAATGAAGTACATTCACAATCATTTAAAATCCCAAAACATTATCAGTATTCCATTGCCACTGAGCTGTTTTGTGTGGTTTGTGCTTTCGTTGTTGCTTTGTGGTGTGCATGATTTTATTTATTTATTTATTTTAAATCAATGGTTTTGGAAACAACAACTCTCTTTCAAAAGATTTACACTGCAAGCTGAAAAGCTGATACGGAATTTCTTCCAGGTTTGATTTAAAATGGGAACAAGATAAAACCCTCCCCTCCAAGTTTGTAATGGAAACATCGACGGATACTAACTACAGTGGCACGAGTCAGGCCATCAGAGTGCTCTGCTTCCCGTAACACCAGGCAATTACTTGCTGTGTTGAAGCAATGCAGAATGACATAGCAGAGACGTGGCACAGTGCCGCTGCTCTCACAGCCACTCACACAGGTTCCCAGAGCCACAGCTCTGCCATGCACCCTGCCCCACACGCACACCTACACAGCTCCTAGAGAAGCGAGCACACACGCATCAGTCACAGTGCCGACTGGTAATCACTACCAGAGCCTCCATTCTGTTCTGCAGCACCTTCAGTTCGGTTTTCAATTCTTGCAATGTTTTGCCCTTTAAGGCTTTGGTTTGTTCCGCTGTGGAACTGCAGTTCTGTACAGTGCTATCCCCAGCTTGGCAAAAGCAAGAGAGGAAAGCAAGCGTGCATGTATACAGACAGCAGCAATCCTAAATCTCTCCTCCTGCAATATATAAACACTGTGTTCTGAAAAATTTAAACTTCTGTTTAAGCACGAAGATGCTCTATGCTAGTGGTTACATCCAAACACCACGGGAATGTAAATATGATTACAGTTGTCTTCCAAAGTTTACAGACAGGTTTCTACTGCTTCCACACAAATCCATACCTCCACTAGCCCTAAAAGGCTTCACAAAACACAGATGCTTGACACACTTTTGCAGCTTGCAGAACCCTGCAGCCCAGCAAGCACAGACAGCTACCAAAGGGCCAGCAACTCCTGAAAGCCACACAGTTCATACATGCTTTTTACGCTGAAGCTTCATCTTAAAATCCAAACCACTACTTCTGCTCAGTTCCTGAAGAGACAGCCTGACAGCCAGAGGCTCTTCTCAGTTTGGGGCAGTTTGTGTCTCCCCGCCCAGCTTCAGTGAGGCAGCTCTGCAGGCACAGTTGCATCACCTCCCAATGGCACAAGCTGAGCCAATAGAGCTCACCTCCTCCACCACAGCTGCATCCCCACCTGGGCTGGTGCCAGCACAGCGATGTCAGTGAGGATGCATGACTTTTCTTCCACACCCCTGGCTAATACAGCACTCACTGGCAAGATGACTGCGGAGACCTGGCCAAGGGTTGGGGTTGTTTGTTTGGAAATAGCTTTCATGAATATTGACTGAAAGCTTTGCAAAACTGACTGCGGGCTTTGTATAGTTTGTTGTACAAACTGTAGTCTGCTGCTAGCTTGTAACTAAAGCGGCTCTTAAGATTTTATCACATGGGCTTCACTACACCTTGCAGTAATGTAACATAAGCAAAAATGTTGTTTTTAACTGCATCTTAAAACACTGGACGGGAACAGAGGAGGAAGAAGAGTATCAGTCCCTTTTCCTAGTGATAATATTCCTACTGGTAACAAACAAACTCGCCATGCTGGTTTCCCATTTCTTCCTCAGGTTCATTCCCAAGGACAGCATCCTTCCCATCACCTCCCCCAACACTAAATGAGAAGCCCAGCACATTGCAGTGTGAGCACCCCCAGCCCCAGCCAGCGGTGCCACTGCCCTGAGGCCCCAGCCACCCCTGCCTCACTGCAGCAGCTGTACCCCACGGGTACGGGTGGGAAGGAAAAGGAAGGAAAACGCTCGCTCCCTGGGGAGGGCCCCGCATGAAGGGCAGCCCCCTGCTTCTCTGTGCAGAGAAGCGAAATGGGAACAATCAGAAGCTGGAAAACCAGCTGTAGAACATAGTCATCTTTATATGAGCCATTCTTGTCTCTTATAAACCGCTCCGTGCTTGAGGACTGGAAATGAGTCAGAGCAGGATTTTGTCCGCCAAGGAGAAGAATCTTCTTTTTGTCAACAGGAAAAACACACACAAAAAACCCACCCAACCCAAACAAAGAGGAACAACCCTGAGAAATTCCTTGGACCTACGAGCTAAGCGATGCTGATCCTTGTGGCTTTTAGACTACAAAAGTTGAAGGAAACCCAAACAAGCAAAAGATACGGACCCAGATAACCACTGTCCCACAACAGAGCACAGTTATTATGGTAGCAACCTATTTAATTCTGTATCTTGGTGTTATAAAAACACATTTATAGAGTTATATAACATGGTAGCACTTAATTACAAGTTCCTTTGCACAGTGAAAATTCCTGATGGGAAAAATACCATGACTTACCATCAGAGCTAGTTCTCACACATCTACTCTAACTCAAACCATAAATTACAGTTTGCATTAACCACCCGATTTAGCCTGAACTTCGACTTGGATCACCTCGTAGTTTCAAAACCTCACCGCTAGTGTTTGCCCAGCATTGTTCAGGTGACTGCACCTCAAGTACCTGCTCACTCACCCCAAGTACCTGCTTTCCCTGCCCTGCTATGCTTAGCCTCTCTCATTTCACTAATCAGCATTTCGAAACAGTATCTTCAGTAACTGGCGTTGATTTAAAATCACTTTAAATTTTTGTGGACGTGTACAATGGTCATATAAATTTCTAAAGGACATAAATATGGAAAAATTATGGCTAAAAATTAAGCTAGGAGGTCAATGTATTTGTTTATGAACTCCACATGTACAAGGAAAGCCTGTGCTCAGGAAGATAGAAGATAGCATCTAGTGGAGAAAAAGACTGTCGCACTTAAGCATCTTAGGAAATAGGAGGTTGTCTGGAGTGAAACGATGTTCTGAACTGCAGGAACAAATCCAAATGTTCAAGAGGAACAACTGCTCTGTGGCAAAAACAGTTGCTTTATCAATTTCCTTTGGACCAGGAATCATTAAACCTTGATCACTCAGCCTCAGCCTGAAAACTGACAGCTGAAGCAGGGATGCCATTTTGAATGTCCCACACTACTCCATCTCATGTTTTCCATCATTGTGTCTGAAATGCTACTGCAAACAAAATTCCTGGAGGCCTCTCCAAGTCCTATTCTCAATGGACAAGAGTCAACCAGTAGGAATAAAACAATCTGCTGCTGCTGTCTGCATTCACATCTCCTCCCTCAGGGTAGGTTCTCTGACTGTTGTTCTTCAGTCTGTCAGTACTTGTCACAAAGATGCAGCAAGTCAGTTGCTTTCTAAGCATTTTCAGGATTAAGCTAATAAAAAAAATGCAGAGAGAATCTCAGGAGCTTTGTCCTCCAAATTCCCATTGAGAACTTTTTTGGGAGAAAAAAACATTGGACTTGCCCCCT